GTACCAGGGATCAAACTTAGTACCTTGCACTTGTGAGGCAGGTTGCAGAACGACTGAGCTAAATCCCTGGCCCTCTGATTTTTTTAAAAAAATTCTGTATTCTAGATAGTAGACCTTTCTGTGAAGAACAGCTGGTAAAAAAATTTTCCCACATTGTGGGTTGTCCCTTTAAATTGTTGGTAGTTTCTCTTGCTGTGCAGAAGCTTTTTAATAAGAGATCCCACTTGTTGGTTGTCTTTGCTAGTTCACAGGCAATTGAGGTTTTGTTCATAAAATCTTTTTCTACGCCAGTGTCAAGAGTTCTACCTAACCTCTCTTTGAACTGGTTTAGTGTTTTTGTTTTAATATTTAGATCTTTAATGCATTTCAATTTTAGTTTAGTGCATGGTGTAGTGAGTTGACTAATGATCAACTTGTAAGCCTCAGCTGAACTGAATCAGCGTGGTATGGGCATGGAGGATTCACCTGAAGATTGTTACCAGTAGCAATAAAAAGAGAACTGGAGGGGAAGATCTTGACCTGTTGATTTTCTAGGAGAAGCTTGCTGGGGGTGGTTTTCCCTATGCAAACTAGGCTGTTTTCATTGGCAGGGGAGCTTGGGGACTCACTGTTGCTGGGAATGGCTGCTATTGTCTTCACTGTGAGCATCAGTTCCTAGTTTCAATGTGGATCCCTCAGCCTAATGGCACAAATCCTTCATTGAATCAGTATAGGTTTTCTACCTTCTACCACTGGCCTTTGGGTCTTCCAGGTGCACATCCTCAGTATGGGCAAGCATAAGGCATTGCCGTGGGCTCTACAACACTGGCTGGACTCAAGGAGGACATTGCCTTGGACTCTAAGACTTTAGGTGGATTTGTGTGGGAAACTGCTGGGATCCAGGCCCTCATCTGAATCCTTTGGGCTTCTAGTGTGTGGTTAATCTCGTGCACTCCTTTGCATTTGACATTTGGGATAATTATCAAATAATTTTAGAAAGTATGTGTCCTTTATCATGTATTCCCTTGCTAAATCCTGCTGCCTACCACATATGGTGAGAGATATAGGTCTATTTTCATCTTTGGCAAGTTGAAATCTAATTTTTCCAGCACCTTTTATTAAGGTTATCTTAATAAAGATATTGGAGGTTATCTTTCCTCCAGTGAGGGTGTTAAGCTTTTTTGTTGAAAATGAGATAGCCGAGTGTGTCTGGAGTTGTTTCTGCATCTTCTAATCTGTTCCACTGGTTTTCAGTCTTGTTTCTTTGCTAGTACTGTTCTGTTTTTATCACAGTAGCTTTGTAGTATAATTTTGAGTTGGGATTGTGATACTCCCTATCTTTTTATTGCCTAGAATTGCTTTTGCTGTTCTAGGTCTCTTCTTGTTTCAAATGAATTTTTGAATTGTCTTCTCAAGGTCTGTGAAGTATGCTGCTGGGATTTCAATTGGGATTGCATTGAATCTATATAGCAGTTTTGGAAGTACGTTGATTCTTACCCAGGAGAAACAGATGTCTTTCCATTTTCTGATACCATCTTCAATCTCTTTTTTCAGAGTGCTAGGCTATAGTTTTCAGAGTAAAGGTCTTTGATTTCTTTTGTTAAATTGATTCCTAGGTATTTCAATTTTTTGCATACTATTGTGAAAGGAGTTGTTTCTCCAGTTCATTTTTGTGCTTTGACCTTCTATCCAGCTACTTTACTCAACTTGGTTATTAAGTCTGGAAGACTTTTGGTGGGTTTCTTGGGTTCATCTATATAGAGTTTCCTGACATCTACAAATAATGACAATTTGACTTCTTCATTTGCTATCTTTATTCCTTTTATTTATTTGTTTTGTCTAATTGTGGCTAATGTTTGCAAAACTATATTGAAAAAGTATGGTGGACATCCTTGTCTTGTTCCTGATATTAGTGTGAAGGATTTCAGTTTTTGACTATTTACTATGATATTGGCTGTTGGTTTTTCATAGATGGCTTTTTTTTAAAAAATTTTTTGGGGTTTTTGAGACAGGGTCTCACTATGTAGTTGAGACTGACCTGGAACTCACTATGTAGCCCAGGATGGTCTCGAACTCACAGCAATCCTCCTGTCTCAGCCTTCCGAGTGCTGGGATTACAGGCGTGTGCCACCACTCCTGGCCATATAGATGGCTTTTATGAGATTGAGGTAGAGATTGTGTATTCCAAATTTTTGGAGTTTTTATCATGAATGAGTGTTCAAGTTTTGTCAAACACTTTCTACATCTATTGAGATAATCATATTGTTTTTTGTCCTTGGCTCTATTAATATAATGTATTACATTTATTGATTTGCATATGTTGAACCATCCCTGCATCCCTAAAATGAATCCCATTTGGTCAGGGTGTATAATTTTGATGATCTTCTGCATTCTGTTTGCCAGTATCTGATTATGGATTTTTGCATCTATGTTCGCTAGTGAGAGAGGCCTGTAGTTCTCTTTTTCAGCTGGGTATTTCTCTGCTTTGGGGATGAAGGAGATCCTTGCTTCCAGGAATAAATTTCAGAGTATTATTTCCCTTTCAATTTCATTAAAGAGTTTAAATAGTAGTGGCAATAGTTCCTCTCTAAATGTCTTAATAGAATTCAGCAGTGAAGCCATCAGGGCCTGGGCTTTTCTTAGTTGGTCAGTTTTTAATTATGTTTTCAATTTCATCAATTGATACTGCATTGTTTAGAATTTTTAGGTCTTCTTTCAACTTTGGTAATTCATACGTATTGAATCTGTCCATTTCTTCTGTTTTCCATCATATTGGCATATAGGTTCTCAAAGTAGGTATTGATGATCCTCTGGATTTCTCCTGGGTGTGTTGTAATTACACCCTTTTCATTCCTGTTTCTGTGGATTTGGCCTTTCATTCTTTCTTTTTTTTATAAGTTTGGCTAAGTGTTTGTAAGTTTTCTTTATTCTTTCAAAGAACCAACTCT